TGAGGGGGAGGAATTAAAGAGACTTTTAATTATCGAACTAGCCAAAACAAGTGATAGATCAGGTATTAATAATTATTAGATTATCTTTTAGCAATATGAGATATAAATATCCATATACATTGTTCATCCTGCCACCTTAAAGTGAATATTTTAGACATTTAAATTTTAAATTAAGCATAAATATTTTTTTTTTCTTTTTATGTTAAATAAAGCCTGGTTATTAAGGATTTAGAAGTCCAAGATTGAGACCAAATCATTCAGGATTTGACTACAAAATGTTAGAGGTTGACAATCTCTCTTTGAAAACCCCCGATATGTCTGCTCTCCATGTCCCTTGAGAATTGATCGGTCCCCCACCCTTGCATTTAACTTAATTCTAAACTTCAAATAAAAAACATAAAGAACTATTTAAAAAGGAAGAGAAGGAGATGGGGAGGGGATGCTGGCAACAAAAGACTCGCCAGCATTGGTGAATAAGTCGTCGGAAAGTAGTGGGCGTCAATGTAGTTGGGGCTTACATCGACTATTATTTTTAACAATTTTAGCAGCAAAATAGAGAATTCAATGTTGAAATGTTCCACATCGACCATATCAATAAGAAAAGAAGAATTTAAATATCCTAACCCCACTTCAACTAACACCGAGGTCTTTTGTGATAAAATCTCACACCTGACGGATTGTGCAGATAGTAATTATCAAGTTAGGGATAGTATCGGTGTTGTTGAAAGTGGACCATATATCGGTCCATCTCTCTAATAGTTCTACGTTCAATGATGAAAATATTAAAATTGGGTATTAAAAGCGACTTAATGGATGCAAAGAAAATTTTCCCTTTATTACCCAATCTTAGTTTTCTCATAGTTTGGGTTAATAAGTGGCCCGATTTTATTTAGGTCCCAAATTGAAATTTTCTTTTCCTTTATTTTTTTGGGAAATAGCCCTTAATAGAAGGGGTAGAAATATCGACAAATGGAACGGAGTTATGACGAAGATTACGTGCATGGTTTTGTCCCAAGCGAACTAGTGGGTCGACAAACAACACCACCAGGTGAATTGCTCAACACCTAAACAAGAGCTACATTACAATTTCACATCCTAATTATAATACGGAGCTCTCCCAAAAAGCCACACACACACACACACACACACACACGCACACACGCACTCACTCTCTCTCTCTCTCTCTCTCTCTCTCTCTCTCCAAAAATGCTGATTGCATGCATTTGGAAGAGGATGATATGTTTTAGTAGTGCAGTAGAGGGGTTTGAAGCCATTGATGATGATGATGGTGACTCACATTGCATATGCAGGTCTCAATATATTTTTCAAACTGGTAGCAGAGGTTGGAATGAATTTCACTGTCCTCATTGTTGTTTTCTGTAAATGTGTATAGTTTTTTGTAGGATTTCTGCAAAAGTTATAAAGTAGCAAGAAGAAAGATGAACTCAGCAGCAATGGGAGTACGTAGCTCCACGATTTCATCCGTCTTTCTTAGATCCGATTACACTACAGCAAAACAATCACACATATAGTGTGATGCTAGCAAAGGACAAAAGAAAGCCGTTGAGATTTCACACGGTTCCCGTCGTGTAAGAGAGGTCATGTGCACCGCAGTCCGCACGGGCCAACTTGAAACACTACTAACTAATACACGGGGCTCACTCTACACTGTTTAGATGTTCAAATCTCAACCGTTCAATACATTCAAATACAACCTTCAAACATTCAAACTAAAATCTCTGAACTTCATGATAAATTATGACTTTTCTTGCAGCATGAGTAACATTCTCCATTAGTGTGGGAAAGCACCTACTGCCACTGATTTGAAGAGCTGCCACTAAGCACACTAGCTTTCTGTCTTCATATATACCAACCATGTAATCTTCAAATATGACATGTCTCAACTTAGATATCCAAGTGACACCTAGATAGCACGTGTTGGTCAACACTTGAAAGTAACGAAAACCATAAATATGTGAAAGTCCAAGTATAAAAAGGGAACATGAAATTGGAGAATCATATAGCAAATAACAATTATAGGGTAACAGCTCAACACGATAACTAATCGGGTCATTATCAGGTAACGGGTCCTTAACGGGTATACACGCAAGTAACCCATTTCGACCCATTAAGAAAAAAAATATTTTGATAATTTTAAAGTTTAATTACTAAAAGATATATTATAAAATACAATAGCCATATTAATATGGGGGCTTTTGATATAGGTACCTAGGTTTTAAAATTTTAAGGTTAAACATTTATGCCTTTTAGAGTTTTGATTAAACATTTTCCTACAATTTAGGTGCCACATGGATTAGAAGTAGCCTTTTTTATAATTTAAATTACCCAACTTTCCATTATATAAATATACCTTTTAATTCCTAGATAATACATCAAAACTCCTAAAATCTTGTAGATAAATATTGTAGAATTTAATTCCAATAAAAAGTCTTTCAAAATACTCATGAATGCGACTTGCCATTATATTTAATATACTTTTTAATTTTCTTAGATAATATCTCAAAACTCCTAAAATCTTGTAGATAAATATTGTAGTATTCAATTTTAATAAAAAGTCTTTCAAATTACACATGAAACGTAGATTTCTTCTTGGTACATATTTGATACGTTACTTAATATATCTTCTTAGTACATATTTGGTATGTTTGTTTTCTTTTTTGTATGTCTTTAATTGGTACGTTTATATTTATTTCAAAAAAGAACATATTTGGTACATATATTTTCTCAATTAAACATATATTTCTCCTTGTTACATATTTGGTACGTTACTTTATATAACTTCTTGGTACGTATTTGGTTCATTCATATTTCTTTTTTGTATGTATTTGATACATTTATATATTATTTTGGTACATTTATATTTATTTAAAAAAATATATTTGGTACGTTACTTTATATATCTTCTTGGTATGTATTCGGTACATTTAAATATATTATCTGAACCTACCAGCCTCAAGTCTCCGAAAATAGAGAATACATCTAATTATCTCACATGATATCAATATAAAATAGTGAAAAGAACCACTAATTGAAATGGATAAGTCCATTCAAAATTCAAAAATGAGGATCACAGAATTCTAACGTGGGAGAAGAAACCATACGGCTCAAACGTGAGAGAAGAAACTGGCTTCCTAAGAAAAGGCCATGTACAAAAATATATCAACCTAAAAGGATATATATGGAATTTAATAATTAACATTTTAAATTAAAAAACCACAATAATTACATTTAATCTAAAAAATATATATAAATGTTGACATGGCTATTGTTTAGGCGTCCTAATCAAATTTCAAAATAGAACCTGTTTAATCTAAAGAATATTAGAAAAGTGCAGGGGATTCTAACTTTCCCTATTAATATATACAATATATTATATATTAAATATATAGTTTTGTATTATTATTCTATATAAGTTAAAAAAAAAAATTTGTCATTATTTATTTTTATTATGAGAGTTCCTTATTATCATTATTAGGATAAATTTTACTTAACATGTTGTTGTCCAATATTAAAATAAACTAGTATAATATTTGTATAGGTAAGAAATAAGAAGACATACATACAAGTATGAAAAATGTGAAAGAATATATAAACACTCGTGATTCATCATTATTCCTCCATGAGTAGATAACGGTTACACTTACATTATTGTTTAGATTTTTAAAATGCTCCAAACCCTCATGAATAATGTTTTTTATTTGAGGGCAAAATTAATAAAATTAATAATAATTATTGTAGAAGTGTAAAAAATGTAAAAAAAAAAAATACACACACACACACACACACACACACACACAATCACTCATAATGACAAGCTTTACAACTTTCATGAAGGGGTCAGCTTCGAAATCCAACACTATAATCCATGAACCTTAAATTTATATTTAACTGTCGATTGTCATTTACTCTTTATTCTTCTTACTGAATTTCATTTTTTAAATTTTCTTTTTTTGAAAACATGATCATCTGACAGATGTAAGAAGATGAACGGTTCAGATCTTTGATATCACGCTTCGATATTTATGGTTAACTAGTCGATGTCATATAGTTTGTAGAAACTTTATAAACATCAAGCAATATTTTCACTAACTGTGAATATAATTTCAACAATCTAAACCGTTCATCTTTATGCATCCTTTAATAGATCATGTTTTACAAAAAAAAAACAAAATTTGATGAGAACAATGAAGCGTAAATGTAAACAACAATCAACAGTTAAATTTTGATCTATGATTTATATGATTATAGTGGCGAATTTCGAAGTTAAGCTCTTCATGAAAGTTGTAAAGCTTGTCATTACGAGCGTTTATATATATATTTTCTATATTTTTACACTTCTACATTAATTAAAAAACTATTAAAGACTTTACTTAAATAATAGCCGTAAGATAAATGAGAGTAAATCTATACCGTTGGATTCTATTTCATCTATATATATAAAGGGAGAGCCCCAGTTTGGTGAAGCTTTCCAAAATGCCAAAAATGGCCATTTCTTTCCTTCACAATCAAAGTCCAAAAAATTCAAAAAATAAGGACAAACTGGTAAAATATCATAACTAAAAAAAAAGCTATATTGAAAATCTAAATAAATAAATAAAAAAAGAAAATGGAATTTAAAACCAATTTGGATCACATCCTGTGTGAAGAAACACTTACAGATAGAAAGACGGAAACCATCTTTCGCACGATCAAAGCAGCAACTGCAGCGGTTGACAGACCCGACATGGAACCGCCATTTATTGCACGTTCTCCATCTCTCAGGTATTTTTCTTTATTTTCTTCTCTTCTCTTGCTCTTTTTTGTGTTGATTTCTTTCTCCATCAAGTCCCCACTTTCAGGAGTCCAGTCTCCTGGCCGCTGCTGCTCTCTCTCCCGATCATAATATTTAAGTAAGTTTTCCATTTTGTGCAAATCCCTAACCCCAACTTTCCGCCCTATTTAGCTATTGATTTCAACTTTTCATTCAACAACATGCATGCTTTTAGGGTTTCTCAACCTTAATTTAATTATTCTTCATCCAATTTCCACCAATTCATATCACTAATTAGGTCCATCTCTAATTCATTTGCTGGGAAAGGACAATGGAATACCCCGAGTGTTTAGTTGGGGTTTCGATTTGATTACAATTGGTTTTAATTTTGTCTCTGCTGCATTCACCATTGCTAAACCTGGGTTCTGTGCTTTGCATGCAAGGGGCTTTTCAAAATCAGGTACACCACCTTTTGAATTATGTATTAATTTTGTTTGTTGCATTGATTTCAAATGAAATTTTGATTCAGACAAATTATAGCATGTTTATAAGGCTTTTCCTCAACTGGGTTCTCTGATTTCTTTCTTTCGTTTAAAGATTCGGTTGAATTGGCTAAAAAAACAATGTGGGTGTTCAAGGTTCTGTTCGGAATCATTGTTGAGTTTCTGAACTTTCATCCATGGTTTCTGATTTTCTCAATTGGGATTATTTCTTACCAATTTCCTTTGAGATTCGCGCGTTTGTTTGTTAATGCTCTGTTTCTTCGTTTTTTACAGGGAATGAAACTGCTCTCTTCCTCTTCTTGACACCCACGTTGATAACACTGATCTTCAAGAGTTAAAGGAGAGGTCTCATTTACATTCAGTCCCTCATCAATATTTTTTTTTTGCCATCCCTTTTGCAAATTTATTTTTGTAGATTTTTATTTCAATGGATTTTTTTTTTTGGCTTTAGGGAATTTTTGTTTATAATAATCCATTTTTCGATTAATCGTGCTTTTTCCATTAGGTTTTCAAATTATCTATATTCGGTGTTGGCGGTGGAGATAAATGCGATCTGGTGTTGTGTGGGTGAGACATTGTAGGGTTAGTAGTTTGAAAATTCTCCGATTCTTTCTTCATTAGTCTATGTATTTTATTGATTTTTGTCCTACCAAGACTTTCTACTGTTTTGACTTATTTGAATTTCATTATCTGAACTCTGTTCTCTGAATTTGGTTACCTAAATCGTGCCTGGTATTTGATGTGGCCGGTGGCTTTGTATGGCTAGCTGGTGTTATTTGGGTTTAATTTTAGTTATAATGGGAGACAGGGCACATTAGTTATATCTGTGCTCATTAATTGATTAGGATTAGTATAGTAGTCTTTGCTAATTTATGCATTTTTATCTTTGTACTATTATAATCGTCCTTACGTATGTTGGGACTAAATTGAATAATAATGCTTCCTTTTCTACTCAGTGAAAACACATACCAAAGCAACAAAGCTATGGTGGTGGGAATAATCATTCTCAGGTATGTATGATATGAATGTGTGATATGAATTAGTTTGCCAAAGTTCATTGTAAGTAGATCGTACATATTTGATTCTCTGGGATATTGTAACTGTATTTCGGTTCATACTGGGGAATAGATTGCTTCTAATTAGAGTCTTTATGATGCTCACTATCAGTTCTCGCATGTATTGGGCAATGCAGTTTTGTTGGTTCATGTTAGGGAATAGGTTGCTTTTACTTTAAGCCTTTCTGATGGTCGCTATTAGTTCTCGCACATATGGGCAACGAAGTTTTGTTGTTTATCAGTTGTAGCAACATACTAAGTCATGATTGTTGCAACTGCAGTAAAGCGGCAATGGAGACCCGGCATCAGCATTTTCAAGTCGATCTGGGTAATCTCATAGCCTTCGACCCTCATCACAGATTCCCCTCCATCCCCTTCTCCAAATTATTTTTCTTTACTTATTCAATATCTCTATTTTTTGGTAATATTTTGTATACTTCTGGGCTTTTTGAAATTATTGCTCTTGAGAAATTAATTGAAAATTTACTTTTGGAAATTGGGATTTTATTTGGATTAATCCCATCAGTAAAGTGGCAGTCATAAGTGAAATAATGAATTTATCACACTATGCTGATGGGTTTTTGTTCAGTGGGTGAAATTCTGATTTGTTTTTTTCATGGTATTTAGGGAGGAATTAGTGAAGGAATGTATAAAGAGAGGGACCGAGTTGGTTTAAGCTATTGCGAATAGTCTTTTCAACTCACATTCAATTGAAGGCATAGACGGTCCCATTGTGCACATGTTCGCTTCCTGAAACTAAGCTGCCAAGATAGAAAGCATGTGAGTCATTCATCCTATGATTCTCCAACGATTTTATTTTAGTTTTTATTTTTTATTTTTATTTTTTAGGTTTGATCATGTATATGATTTTGGATATGATTTTGATGTGCAACGTAATATTTGGGTTTTGATGTGCAACGTAATATTTGTTACAGATAGTTCGATCAAAGAACAATATCATTGAATTTCACACACTTAAGAAAAACCCACTCACGTGCAATGAAGGGGTAACCATGTCAACGACTTCAGATCAAACATATGCAAATCGTTCAATTTCCTCCTTTTAGCATCTTCACCTCCAAATAGGATTAATGTAGAGCTTGCCCTGACTACAGTGTGACCAGTGCGAGCAACCTGCCATGCGTAAGATATGTGGGTGGGTTAAATTATCACTCCATTTAACTATCATTAGTTGAGTAATTCACAATTCCTCCAGCTCACTTCAACAATATATATGATTTTGGATTCGTGTTGGTGTAGCTAGGGACAATTATATCTGTGGATGGATGTTGGGTTGGAAGGTCTACTCATAAAGAAGAACAAATCTAAGGGTAGAGTGAAACTGAAAAGCAGCCAAACTTAAATTGCAATTTGCCAAAGAGCACGATTGGCCCTTTGTTTTAAAATTTTCATACTTCTCATTCTTATGTACCCTTATGTATCGGTAACGTGTATTCAACTTTAAAACTTTATCCGAAACCATTTGGTGGGTGTTTGGAATTTTGGAATTAGATTTTCAATTTGGTTTGTGAATTGCTAACTTTATCAACTCCTCTTGCTTAACTTTAATTATTTCAGTTGGCATTGGTTGCAGACCCATTTGTTGAGGCTCGAAGAAAAAGGAAGTGGGGAAAGTGTATTCTTGCCATATATTTTCTGTTGGGAGTGAGCATTGAAGAAAAGGGAAGGTGATAACAGCGGAAGAGGTGGCTTTTTGCTTTTGGCCTTTTGTTTTCTTCATTTTGCTTAATGTTGAGACTTGAGAAAAGAACTTCTAATGTTGAACCCCAATTCGAGAAGATAATGTGAAGAAAACAAATATTCGTAATTGTTATTATGTCCAAGATCAAACCAATTATGAACAATTGCTGTCCTCTAACAAAAAAAAATTTGACCGATGTTTAGTTATTCATAATCTTCTTCGTAATCTCAAATATCCATGTAGTCCAAAATCATCCCTAAACACCAGCGGGGTTCGAGAAGGATTTTGAATATCATAACAGTTATTCATAATTATGATTTTGTTAAGGAACCTTGCGTACATGCATTGTTTTTATTTTATTTTATTTTTTTTTTATTCATTTGAACCAAATCATCCCATCCCCATTTGCACCCCAACGACCAACAAAGCACCCCAAAATTTCTTAAGTTGTGTTGATCACAAATTATTGAAGATCATATCCTTAAACTAATGAACCAAAATTACTAATAAACATAATACCTAAGAAACCAAAATTACTAAAATTTTAAGGATATCATAACATTTTAGAGCTTATATGTGCATTGTTGAGTTATTAGAGCAAACTAATAAATATAATGAACCTACATTGAATACAAATTCTTCTTTGTCATGTGGTAGTTTTTTAGCCTCTTATTACGGGTTACACATTTCTAAAAACTTTTTATATTATGTCCAGCCCACATCCGTCATTTATGATAGGGTTTAGGGGTATTAAAAAAGTTTAAAATTCTACTCATCCAGTTGACATAAAAATTAAAACTCTATAAACAATGCTAATTTATAAAAGAAAAAAACATGAAAGCTAAATCATATCCAAGTCCTAACACCAACCGAGAAGTGTATATAAGCCCGTCATTTCCTTGCACTAATACTTATTACACTTCAAAAGTATTTTGTGATCATTTTATTTTGTTCTTTTGTATTATAGTGATGTGTAGATAAATGTTTTTTCTTCTTCTGTTCATAGACATCTACGTAGACTTTTTCGTATTTATGGAATGTCACAGAATTTGTATTCAATTTAGGTTCATTTATTTTTTAATTTTTTAGATAAATTTTTCCATGGAGCGTGGCCAAAGTCGTGCAAGACAATGGCGTCAATCATTGAGTCCTGAAGAACATCAAAGATATCTAGCTCGACGACGTCTAATAGCACAAGAAAAAAGACAACAAATTCCAACTCTATATGATGATCATACTATGACATCCCCCAGTAACATACAACAAGAAATTCCTGGTATTTATTTCATATTCCTTTTTCTTTAACTCATACTAATGCCAAAAAAAAAAAAAATCTAATTTCTAATTTTTCTTTTAACTATGCAACAAGTAGGTCCCAATAATATACAAGAACGGGTTCAGTTCGCTAACTATGATGTTGAGGTCGACCCCAGTAATATAGAACAACAAATTCCTGGTATTTATTTCAATTTCTTTATTTGTATTTGTTTCACACTTAAAAAATTAGGTTATTTTTTAAGAACAAAATTTAGTGAATTGAAATCTCATTGTATTCTTTTCTTCGATACTTTCATATTGATCTCAATGTTGTAGTTATTTTTAGTGGTAGTCTTACGAAATATTAGACTCACAACTAAATATATTAAATATTAAAGACAAAATTTTTAACTAATCGTATTATAATGTGGTCTATTTATTAGAACAAATTGAGCATGAAAGCGCGAATTCAAGGGTTTTGTCAGATATCACAAATCATGATGACCAAACTTCTACTAGAATGCGTACTCATATGGGACAGTTGGCACATTCAAATAGGTCACAAATATCTTATGGGATGCTCTCAATTCCTCCCCACAATGGTGAGCTTAGTATTAATTTTATCTTTATATAGATATGTGATTAGTTACAAAGAAAATTCTTATACTGAATGTTGGATATTCATGTAAAAATATCAGAAGAAGAACATGCAAATAGAACCAATTGTCATGTGCGCCAAACCAGAGGAAGAAGAAACCACAATTGTGCTAGAAATTATAATGAGAATCGGGGTATCCTAGGTTGCCAATTATCTGCTCCAACCATATGTCCGTACTGCTATGCACGATTGTTTGCTCGAGAAACTTTGAATATGTGTTGCTTGAAAGGAAGAATTGTTTTACCCCCAATACAATCCCCACCAGAAATGGTTGCTCTTTTCTCTGACCAAACAAATGAGGGTAGACACTTCAGGCAAAATATTCGAGCTTACAATCATGCATTTGCATTCACTTCAATGGGAGTACACGTGGATGAAAGAATTAATATTGGTGGTCGTGGGATTTACACATTTCGTGCTCAAGGTGCATTATATCATAAGATTGGTGGACTTTTACCAAATGAAGGGAACAGACCGCGATTTTTACAAGCTTATATATATGACACTGAGCATGAAGTTGAAAACCGAATGTGTGAAAGTGAAGTTTTAGATAGACGTGTGGTTGAAAAGATACAACATATGTTGAACAACCATAATCATTTTGTTCATACATTGCGAAGCCTTGGACAACGCCAAGATTTGCCGAATTGCAAGTTGATCCTAAAAGAGCAACCAATAGATCGGCGTCAGTATAGTCTACCATTAGCATCACAAGTTGCGGCAATTATAATAGATGGAGATAATGCCACAATTGCAAATGGAAGGGATATCGTGGTGGAGACAATTAGTGGAAGACTTTCTCACGTCCGAGACTATGTTGGATTTTATGATCCCTTACAATATCCACTATTGCTGCCTTACGGTACATATGGATGGGATGTTAACAGTCGTGATGATGGTGGAAGAGCAATAACATGTTGCGACTATTATGCTTATATGTTACAGGTTTGTACTGATAACATAATTTACTTCCCGGTATATATAGATGAATGATGATTCCTATATTAAAAGCAATATATGAAATTTGCTTTTGTAGATACGCCATAATGGATCATCACTTTTGCTTCGAGGTGGACGTCTCTTGCAACAATATGTTGTAGATAACTACATTAAAATTGAATCACAAAAACTTAGATGGTTGCGTTCTAATCAAGCCACAGTTAGAGCGGATCTCTACAAAGGACTTGAAGACTCTCTAAATGCAGGTCAACACAATGCAGGTATATATATCGTTTCAGTCATCGTTATTTAGAAATATAATTTTGTTTAAAGTGTGTACAATATATATAGCTAATTGAAAATAAAATATTATTAGGTAGCATCGGGCGTAGAATTATTTTACCATCATCATTTGTTGGAAACCCACGTGACATGTACCAACGATATCAAGACGCAATGACTTTGGTTCAAAGATTCGGAAAGCCAGATCTTTTTATTACCATGACATGTAACCCAAGTTGGGAAGAAATCAAAAGCGAATTACTCGCTGGACAAGCTCCACAAGATCGCCCTGACTTACTCACTAGAGTATTTCGTGCAAAACTTGAGCAACTAAAAGAAGACATCATTGAAAAGGGGGTATTGGGCAGTGTTGTTGCTTACGCATACGTTATTGAGTTTCAGAAACGTGGTCTTCCACATGTGCATATGCTGGTTGTGTTAGATGAAAATGATAAGATCAATAACCCAGATGAGTATAACCGAATTGTTAGAGCTGAAATACCAAATGAAGATGTAGAGCCTCAACTTTATAATGTGGTGTTAAAGCATATGATTCATGGCCCGTGTGGGATTCATAATCCTCTATCTCCATGTATGAAAAATAGGAGTTGTAAGAGAAAGTTTCCCAAACCATTTGCACCAGTCACCGTTCAAGGGAATGATTCGTATCCAATTTATCAAAGGCGAGGAAATCGATTGCCCGTCTCACTTAATCGACAAGGAAACTTAATGGTTGATAATAGTTGGGTCATTCCATATAATCCATGGTTGCTGTTAAGGTATGATTGTCACATCAATGTCGAAATTTGCGCAAGCATAAAAAGTGTCAAGTACTTATATAAGTATGTTTACAAAGGCCCAGACAGAGTGACAGTTGAAGTGCAATCAGACCCTCAATACGATGAAATAAAGCAGTTTCAGGATGCAAGATGGGTTTGCGCACCAGAGGCATTATGGAAAATATTCAAGTTCATTATTAATCGAATTTATCCATCTGTTGAGCGAATGCAAATACATCTTCCTAATATGCACCAAGTTCAGTTTCGTGCCGATGAAAGCATAACAAATATTCTACATGACGAGAGTACAAGAAAGACAATGTTGACTGAATTTTTTACACTTAATCATGTGGATGCAGAAGCGCGGCATTATTAACAAGAGTATAAACGAGTTTGATTTGCCCCAAATGACAAGAGGAAATGAATCAAGTTCAGGAATGACCGGATGTATTGAAGATGAAATATCCATATGTATTCCACAACAAGATCTTGATGCAATTGAACGCTTAAATGATGACCAAAAAAGTGCGTTTAACATAATAATGGGTGCAGTTCAACGATCGGATAATGCAACTTTTTTTGTGGATGGTCCCGGTGGAACTGGAAAAACTTACTTATATCGCGCATTGTTAGCAAGCTTGAGAAGGTTGGGGCACATAGTATTAGCAACAGCATCATCTGGAATAGCAGCTACGATATTGCCTGGTGGGAGGACAGCACATTCTAAATTCAAGATACCACTTAGTCTCGATGCATCATCGATGTGTTCGATCGGTAAACAATCTGATTTAGCAAAGCTAATACAAAAGGCAAAGGCAATTATTTGGGATGAAGCAACAATGACGCATCGTCATGCATTTGAAGCACTCGATCGAACGTTCAGAGACTTAACAGATATTGACTTACCATTTGGGGGGAAGATAATGATATTTGGGGGAGATTTTCGACAAGTTCTTCCTGTTATCCGGAAAGGAACCAAGTCCGAACTAATCCAAGCAAGTGTTGTTAAGGCATCATTTTGGTCACAAGTAAAGATTTTAAAACTCAAACAAAACATGAGATCCATAAATGATTGTGAATTTTCAGAATTTTTACTTCGTGTTGGTGATGGGAATGAAGATGTTATTATGGATGATATGGTAAAACTACCTGAATGCATGGTGATACCATGGGAGAGTGAGCATTCCATTAATCAATTAATTGCCAAAATCTTCCCTGACTTAGAGGATCATATAAATGATGCAACCTACATGGTGGAAAGGGCAGTGGTAACTCCTACAAATGAAGACGTTGATATGTTGAATGAAAAGATAATCAATATGTTTCCGGGTTTAGAAGAGACAATGTATTCATTTGATTCAGTTGAGGATGACGTAAGGAATTTGTATCAGCCAGAGTTCTTGAATTCAATCTCACTTGGTGGTTTGCCTCCGCACAAGTTAACTTTGAAAAGAGGTGCTCCAATCATGCTTTTAAGAAATATTGATCCGAAATTGGGATTGTGTAATGGTACAAGATTATTGTGTCATGGTTCTTACCGAAATCTTATTGATGCTGAAATTCTAACTGGACAATTTGCCGGATCCAGAGTTTTCTTACCAAGAATCCCTCTCAAAAGTACTGATACTGCTGGGCTTCCATTTGAACTTACAAGAAAGCAATTTCCAGTGAAACTAAGTTTCTCTATCACTATAAACAAATCTCAAGGTCAGACAATACCACATGTAGGCGTTTACCTTCCAGATCATGTCTTCAGCCATGGACAATTATATGTGGCTTTATCGAGGGGGGTCTCAAAGTCAACCACAACCGTGTTAGTAAAAAGTGGCTCCATAGTAGGCCAACAAGGTGTATTTACACGGAATGTAGTATACAAAGAAGTCTTGCTTCATTCCAGCTAATTATGGTGATTCCTAATAGGTAACAGCTTTATTAACGATAACATTTCAGTATGCATTTCTCACTTATCAATTAACTCTTTTTATTTGATTTTTAATTTTCTCACTATCGTTTGTAGATTGGCAATGAAAATTTGAAGCATCAATCATGAACAAATGGGTGGAAATTGCAGCATTGATGTCAATATGTAAACTTTCTTTTCAAAAGAAATAGTGACATATACACTCTATGAGTATTGTGAATAATGTACATATTGTTATGTAGGATTTATATTTTGACATTTAAATTGTTTTGTATTTTGCTACGAGTACTTACTGTTTTCATCTACTATTTTTTATTTATTTACATATACTTGCTATCGTTCATAGGCTTTAGGTAGGAACTTGCATCTAAAATCGTATGTTGTTTGATAAGTGCATGAATAACATTTAAATCATTACTTTACACAAAGTAAAAATGAAAAACATGATAACTTTTTAGGACGTGCATGATAAAAAAAAAGTTCCTCTTTGCACAATACATTTAAAGTATATCTTGACAATTACAATGGGAAAAACTAACACAATACACCTTTAGGGGCGCGTAGCG